GCCCGGCAGCAGCTCGCGGCAGCGCGGCGCCCGCCGCGCACACGGCCCGGGCGAGAGCGAACGGCTGCAGGGCCCCACTCCCAGCGACCGGCCATTTATCTCAGGTAACCATGGCCCTCCCTTCCCATCGCTCTTCCGGGCGCTGCCTCCTGCTCCTCTCCTCTCGCTCGGCCGAGTCCTTCGGARGAGGGCGGCTCTCGTGTCCAAGGGCAGATCAGTCCGTCATCCTGCACTCAGGAGCTCTCAAGCTTGGCCTTCCCCTGCGTCCTGCTTCTCAGCGAGCTGCTTCCCCTTCACATGATGGCACCTTCTCTTTGCATCCTGCAATTTAAAAAGAAAAAGTCAATTCTCGGTTCGGATTCGGGGTATTTAACAGGTCTGACATGGTGGGATCTGCAGGTGGTAGGGGAGCAGCAGGCAGACCTGGTCCCTGGCATGTGACACACACCGTGTGTGCAGGAGCTTGGCAGAGCTGCAGAACAGCTTCAATGGTCTCTGCAGGAAAGGTCCAGACCTCGGCAGTGACCCCGGGTGGGATCTACATGTGCTACGGTGGGTACACAGAGCTGCTGTATAYGGCCTTCCCCCACTTCTCGTTACGCCGCTGAACACAAGATATGCAGCACTTTCATTCCTGCTTACAGTTTAAAATTAACAGGAGCAGGAGATGGACGCTGCCTTCATCTGGCGACGTCCTTGCCAGTGACTTTCTGGGCTCTCGGGATGCCCTGACCCCTCAAATCCACACGAGTTCCCCCACAGCTCCTCTGTCCCATGACTCCCACCTCACTCGTCCTGTGAGGTGGGAGGGATCCCACATTCTTGCAGGGCTCTCAAAACACCCATTTGGGGAGGCAGCTCCCTTAGGAATCCACAGCCAGGGACATGGGCTGCCCAGAAGCTGCAGGACAAACCCCTGCTCCGCTGGACTCAGCGATGGTGAAGAGGAGGCGCCTCCTTCCTCACCTCTTCTTCCACGCCTCTGAAGAGCACCAAGCCCATCTGAAGCCACCAGCAGCACAAGGTGAATCTGGGCCATTTTCATACATGCAAAAGTACCTCTTGTTGTGGAGCTCTCTTCCCGCCTGCTTTGCGTTCATGTCAGCAGACTCTTTCACCATATGTTGTTATTTTTCCCGGATAAAATGCTCAGCAAAGCCAACAAACACCAAGCCTCCAAATGTAAACACCAGGCAAAGTGACTAAATTGCCCTTACTTTCAAAATAAAATGAAATCACTATGGAATCTTCTTTCCCATACCAGAAATGTGATYGTCAACTGTAAACACACAAACAGCTCCCAGGTGGGAGCTCCCATAACTTGGGATGTGGGCACATTTTCAGGGAGCATCTGCTGTCCTTCTCCGCAGAGGCAGATCTGGAGCTCATGCAAAGACACCCCTCATGCCAGATGTTGCTCACCAAGTCCGTCACGCTCACAATAAGCTTTCTAAAAGAAGTTTCTACCAAAAAAAACCCCACTTTTTTAATACTTCTCTCTCATTCTTTCTCACTTACACCCCCATGCTCCTGCAGACAGGAGCTCCACCACCAGCAGCCCTTATATCCCCCTACCCAGCCAGCATAGCTGCAATGCCAAGAGGTGCACGAGCAACAAAACCAAAAAGCAGTACTAACAAAACACACAGTTCATCATCCTGTCTCCATTCCTCCCTTTTCTTCAGGCTTTTTGTCACAATCATTCTGATACAGAAATAATATTAGAAGACCTATTTGATCAYGGGGGTAAAACTGACATTAGATTTGTATAGAGTAAGCCAGGGTTTTAACAACTATCTACACCAGAAAGGAAACTGCTTGTTTGAGACAGATGCTTATTTTGTAATGTGCATTACTAAACAGAAAAAAATCCCTCTGAGTCAGGGAAAAGATCATTTCACAGATGAGGCCAGAAGTCAAACTCTAAGTATTCCCACCAGGCTCTTTTCCAAGCTCTTGGTAGAGCCTGAAGCACAGACAAAAAGACAAGCAGGCTTTATATGAACAGATACAATATCCCTAACTTTGTGCTGGTGGACAGAATAGAGGCAGATGCTTTTACACAAGTGTGATCATTCAGTATTATCTAAATAACTTCTAAGCTATAAGCTCCGCGGGACAGGGACTGGTGAGCGCGGCGCACAATGAAACCTTAGCCCTGATGAGGTGCTCAGAATAGCTGTAGAGCATAAATGTAAAGCACATTACACCATTAATTTTCCACAGGAGAAATCAGGACACAGGAAGCCCGATTTAAGGTCACACTGGGAGGCTCCAGAAGAAACACACCTGAAAACTCTGTTCTCCAGACTCAGCTGGATCCTGTCGCTCTCCAAGCCCAAATGCCCCTCTCTACTGAAAAATGGTGTTTGGAAATTTAGCTCAGCCAGTGTGACCAGGTGCTAGGTTTTCTTCTACGCAGAAGACTGACCATCTTTCAATTTTGTCTCTACATTCTCTCARCCATTCATTAGAAAAAGCACACAAGAGAGGGGCAGAAATAACCCTGGGAGGATGTAAAAACTGGAATTCAAGTAGATTTTTTCCCTTTTCTGTTACTGAGTGACAAGTGACTTTGAAGGGCCCGTTGTTCGAACTGCCTGCAGGGCATGGTTCATCAATCCAGCTCAAGTCAACGCGGACTGCCTCTGCACCAGCTTTGTACCCCCAAAAACCACGGCACCATTCAAAAGCGAGTGGAACCACCTTCCCACACACATACACTAGGTCTTTCCCATCGCCTGCACCCTACAAGGCAGGCCCTGATGCTGGCAGCCTCCAGTCTGCCACTGGAGCTTCCAGGTCATGCTGACCTGCAGAGAGACAGCAGCAAATGGAGTTGCAGGTCTGATAGAGGTTGGGCAGAAACATCTAGGAAATGCTGTATCTGCTGCATGAGGCAAGTTCCCTGCAGGATACACACAATAAACACAGCTCAGTGCACAGCAGCTGCAGTGAGAAGCTGTCTTCATTTGACCACTACGTAACAAATTCATATGAAATGGCAGATTCCTCATGCTCAACCTTAAGTGAGAAGGCTGCAAATTGCAAGTCAGTATCTTCCCTAATATATATTTCTTTCTTTCTTTTTTTTTTTTTTAAATCCCATTGGCTAAAATAGAATAATCAGATTATTCTGAAACATCCACTATCTTCAAACATCTCATACAAGCAGTGGTTCTCACAGGAGAAAATAAAGAGGGATGTAGMTTTCCAAATAAATGTTTCCTTGGAAGAGTCTGTAATCCAGCTGCCACTGTAATGGCAATAAAACAGAGAATATACTGAACCAGGAGAAATCTTTGCAAAGCACTGTACTGCTTCTGCAGCACTCCATCCCCAAAACGTCACCCTAGAAAACACTTCTCCTCCTCGTTTCCACTCACTCACCTCTATTTTCACTGCTGAAACGCAGTCTCTGCTTTGCAAAGAGCCATAGCTACAATCTCCTGGTTATCATCTTCAAGAGGAACATCTCAAGACAACTGGATTATTGTGCACAACGGGAGTGAAATGGGAGTCTACGCGGGGCTGCTACACCTGCAGTGCCCAGCTGAGGGGCAAGGGCAGAGGAATCCCCTGCGCTGGACACTGTGAATCAGGGCAGTGTTTGGGTAACAATGACTCCATTCAGCCCCCAAGCGAACTTCCCAAACAAGCCCCCATTTGTTACACGGGCGAGCTCAAAAAACCAAATAATAATAATAAAAAGGCCTGTATCAGATTGCTGCTCAAGAATCTGTCAGCTCCCATCTCTTTAACAAGGCTTCACAGCCAGGGGGCACGCCAGCTGGCACGCTCCGCATTAAGCCCTTTGGGAACCACATCAGCTGGTTTAAAAAAAAAAAAAAAAGAAAAAAAGTATCACAACAAAAACACCAACCATAGTTTATATTAAAAGGTGAGAGCGCTGTCAGAAACCACTCATAGCCAAAATGCAAATCCCCCAAAGACCTGTGCTGGAAAAAAAACAAAACAAAAACACCATCAAACCCACCCACAATCACAGTGAAAATTGCTCCCTCCTGAAGAAAACAGAAAATACCTGGCTCCTTGCTTGAGAAAACCAGCGCTCCAAGCTCCTTTCCTGCAGCTCTGTTGGGATTAGCTGGGCGCGAGCTGCAGGAGGCCGCAGTCAGAGGGCAGAGCAGACCGAGGTTGAGGCCGAGGCCTCGGGTGGGTGCCAGGGTGCAGGGGCTSCGCTCGGCCCCGAGGGCATCGTGTGGCCTCCAAGCTCCACTGTCTCCCACCCCCCAGCCTTCAGACACATCCTTCACACAGCGCTGAGGTTCTGCTTCCTAGCGATACACAGTGCTCATGTGCGACGCAAACCGCTCTGCGCRCTATCAGCTGCTAAAACCACATGGCAAATTATGTGATAGCGAAGCAAGATAACCATCAGAAGTGTGTGGTTTTAGTGCCTGATAGGCAGGAGTCAACGATGCCTTGAAATTATTGCAGGGAATCATTGCAAATGCTTAAGACAAGCACTTGTCCAAAACCAGTGACCAGAACACATGTGTGTGTGTGTGTGTGTGTGYGYGCGCGTACTTATACATATTTGTATGTGTGCATAACAATGCATATATAGGGCTGATGGCCCTATATATAGCCAAATACATATATGTGTGTGTATATATGTATATTTGTGGCCAAGGATACAGAAGATAATGGATGTTACTTGACATCATTATCAGGAATTTCTGTCACACAGGCTCTCTTTCAGCTGAGCCACAGCAGGTCTTACCGTCCTGGAAACCARCACCACGAGCACATTCCTCCGGCCTTTTTACTAGGCATAATACAACACAACTTTCTGGAATGCACGGTGGCAGGACCCTGTCTTCACACATAACAGCCCTAGCTCAGAGCTCCTTCTTCTGCACTTCTGTGCAGCCGTTGTAGCTTTGGGCCCCGGAGGGACGGCAGTAATTGAGTTACACAGTAATCAGGAAAGGAATCCGATTGATTTTCCAACCCATTCCATTTTAATGGTGTCATCATGACACAAAATTCCTCATCTGTCTGCTTCACGGAGAGGCGCCGCACGCGCCGGCCGGAATGTGCCAGGCCTTCAGGTGCAGCTTTGCTCCGGGGAATGCAAAAATCTGGTGAGCACTGGAAGCAAAACACACTTACATGAGAAGCAGTAAGAGCACAAAGAGAAAATGTTGGTTATATTCTGCATCCTGCACTCAAAATAATAGTAATGAAAAAAGTACTGTGGGACTTGCAGCTCCATTGCAATGCAACTGGCACGCAAGCCCATTCTGGTGCCCTGAGGAGCTCAGGAGGCAGCAGCAGTTCCTTGCCCGCCCCGG